CATTGAATCTAAATAATTTAATAAATCAATTAAAATTTATTAAAATTACTTAAAATCAAAATGTATTACTTACATCTTTAAATGCCGCTAATGGTTCTTTCCAACCTTTTCCAACCTTCTACATTAAATACATATGCAACACCTTCCAGCTTGTAGCAGGATATTCTATAGTCGTTAACATGTGATGAACAACTTGTGATGTTAATTCTTTTGTAAAATAAAATAGTTTATTTTCACTATTAGTATCGTGCGTTGCTGCCGTGTCATTTTCAATGTTTAAAGCTTCATTTTCTGAAGGTAAATCCTATTGTAATAAATAATTATTTGAATTCTAATTCATAATAATAATGAATTATATATTTACACTTTCAGTTTCATATCTATCATCGTTAAATAACTCTAAATCCTCCTCATACAAAGTTTCCAAACCATCGATAATTCGAAAGCTATGATCTTCTATTTAAAGGTATGTGTTTTTTGAGCCGTACAAGATAAAAGTTTGATTTAAGATTTTTCATTCGTAACCACGAAAGCTACAACTTATTCATTATTACATTGTTTAGTTTTATTTTGCCAGAGTACTTACTTTTGATACAAATTCAGGAAATCGATTTAATTATCTATCATACACGTGAGTATGATTATAAAGTTCTGTCATACGCAACTACTTTTGATTTTCCGACTATACTCCTTTAGGTTGTACTCCAGATAATAGTTTTACCAGCATTACTAGACTTCATGAGCCAGCTCTACGAGAGTTTTGGACAACATTATTCACGTAACAAAAATTACATACAATTTTGACTTCAGAACTTGTACAAACTTATGCGAAATTATAGTAATTTTCCAACCTTATATATGAAAGACATGTTACATATAATTCTTGTTCTACAGATAATTTTATCATTATAAATGTTGACACGTTCAATGTTATAAATTTTGGTTGAATATTTTGTGTGTTTAGTTGGTGCGAAAACTTATGGAGAAGGCTAAAATATTGACAAGAACTGGAGGAAACGTCGATGTTACACGACTGATATTTCACCTGGTGTGCAACATATAAAAAAATTATTTTAAAATACCAGATCATTCCGATAGTACATTATAATCATAACATGTACTAGCTAGGGGTTAGTAAAATTACGGGGGGACAACTTTATGGTTACACGAGTTTAATAGTAGCACAAAGATCGTCATTTTATATATAAATTATATAATTCATATGTGCCATATTCGATCGCTTAAAGTTTTAATTACAAGTTGCTTTGAAATTATCTCCCTGCCGGGATATTGTTTTTTTTTCGAAACTTGGAACATACAAAGGCAAGTAACTAATCATATAAAAATTTCGTAACTGCTTTT